CCCTCAGCAGCCTCTCTGGAACGTCGTGGGTGGCTCTAGTCCTGCCAGCACACATTTCCTGAGCTGTCACCCCACAGATTCAGGCCCCTCGGTACCCAGGAATCCCTCTCAGCCCATCTCATCATCAAGTCACTCCCGGGTGGGCTGTTTGGGGCTGCAGGCGGGCCTGGGTGAGTCAAAGGGCTGAGGTGAGGGCCGAGGGGAATGCATAGTGGCCGAAGGAGTTGCTGATCCCCCCCTCTCTTCATGAGGGAGAGTTGGTTCCCCACCGCTAGACCTGGTGGCAGCACCCCAGGAGGAGAGCCACAGTTGTGCCTGTGCCCTTCTACTGCACCCCAAGCTCTCCCAACAGCCCCTACTGACTGGGTGCCCCTTTAGTCCTCATTTGGATTTCCTCACTCAACAGCAGGGGGCCAGGACGGGTCACTTCCCAGCCCTTCCCCACCCCACCCAGCCCTGCCAGCCAGAGGCCCCTGTGACATTTCCCACCTCCTTCCCCTCTCCCCTGTTCTCCCATACTTTCCTTGTCTCCCCACCTTTTTGTCTCTCTCTGTCCTTCTCCTTTCTCTTCTCTTCCTCGTACCTCAATATCCTTACCCTTCTTTGTGTCTTTTTCCCCATCCTCTTTCCCTGTGTCCTCTCTGATATCCCTCCCCCGTGTCTTCCCAAATTTCTCTTTTCTCTGGCTTTTCCTTGGCCTTTCCTCTCTGTTCTCACCAATACTACCTCTTGGAATTCCCAATCTCCCTTTTCTCCATTTCCCACCTTCCCTGTGACTGCACCTCATTCTCCCAATCTCCTCCTCTCCCACCGTCTCCTCTTGTCACTATATTCCCTTTCTCTTTGTCTCCCCATGCCCTCTCTCTGTTCCTCGCCATCTTCTTCTGTCTCCCTTTCCGGCACTCCCTCTCTCTGTATCTCTCCCCATCCCCCACCCTCCCCGGCCCCACGCCCCCATCCCCATCCTCTCAGCCAAAGCCTACAGCCCGGAGTTTTACTTCGACACCCCCAACCCCACCCGCAGCCACAAGCTGTCCAAGAACTACTCCTATGTGCTGCAGTGGACCCAGAGGGAGCCTGACGCTGTCGACCCCCTGCTCAACTACAGACTCAGTGTCCGCCAGGTGGGCCAAGGGGGACAGGGGCCCGGGTGCAAGCTGACCCTGGGAATGTCCATCAAGCCGTGGGAAGGGGTTGGAGGCAGGGCCTGACCCCCTTATAGACAACTCTTCAGACCTAGAAAGTGTTCTGGACACAGCAGCAGAAACTGGGAGGCTCTAGGGACCTGCCCCCTCTGGACTTGCTCTGGGCACAGGCTTGAGAATTGGGCTGGGTCTGCTGGATTCAGACAGGAAACAGGGCAGAGCCACCAGCTGTGTTCCCAAAATGTAGAATCTGCTCTCGGGTCAGGAGCTTTTCCTTGGCCTTTCCTTACACCAGGAGCTTAAGGTGGGGTGTGGGGTCAGTCTTGTCCACAGGATCTCTAGAATGCAAGGCCAGAGCTTTGCGGATGTTTTGTATAGTCTCCTTCGGTGTAGTTCTGCCCAAGGGGCATTAGGTGTGGAGGGTAAAAGTGTGGCTCTGGGGCAGACTGCCTAGGCTAGAATCCAGCTCTGTATGAGCTAGGGCAAACTGCATCTGTTTGGCCTCAGTCTCTTCATCTGTAAAATAGGAGTAATTATAATGTTGCACCTCATAAAAGTGTTATTTTGAGGAGTAAATGAGTTAATAATGGCAAATTACTCTGCATAGCGCCCAGCACACTTTTGTTGTTCAGTACGTGTTGCTATCGCTTACTAAGACAGCCCTAGGAGGCAGGCATAGAAGGAGTGATTGTCCTATCTCACAGATGGGGAAACTGAGGGTCTGGGTTCTTAGTCCTTTATGCTTTCTGCTCCCTGACACTGCCCCCACCCCACCCTCCAAGTCTCACCAGGGCCTGGGCTGGTGCTCTGGTGGAGGGTGTGGCCCGCTGGGCATCTGGGAACTCCCTGTATCTACAGTTGAATCAGCACAACGCCATGGTGAAGGCCATCCCAGTGCGGCGCGTGGAGAAGGGGCAGCTGCTGGAGTACATTCTGACCGACCTCCGTGTGCCCCACAGCTACGAGGTCCGCCTCACACCCTACACCACCTTCGGGGCTGGTGACATGGCCTCCCGCATCATTCACTACACAGAGCGTAGGTGGTGGTGGTGGTGGTGGTGGTAAGGGGGGAGGGGGGCATCCCATACCCTGGGGACCCCTTCCAACCTCACCACATGGGTCCAGAGCTTGGGTCCCCCCACTGTGTCGTGTTCTACTCTGTCACCCCTCTGGACCCCAGTCCTGGTTTCGGGAACCCTGTCCCCTGGCGCCAAGCCTGGGCACCCTCCGTGCAGTCCCACACCTCAGTTCTGACTTGGTTTTCCTACTTTCTTTCTCAGCCATCAACTCTCCCAACCTGTCAGGTGAGACAACTCCCTCCCACTTCTTCTTCCCTTTGGGGACACAAAGACTCCCGTGGTGGGAGGAAAAGACCCTGAGAGATACTCAGAAAATGGGTGGAGGCCGGCAGCTGGAAGGAGAAGCCAAGGGGAACAGGGCTGGGCTTGGAGACATGTATATCCAGGATTTATTCTGGGGCTTACAGGTGGTTGGGGGGGGGGGTCAGGGATGGGAGACGTCTTGAACTCAGGGCCTTTCCTCCTCAGCCAGTACCATTCACAGTCCTTAAAAGAAAAATAGAGACCAGGCTAATCCACATCCCCTGTTCTCTCTGGCAGGGGTACTTAATCTGAGACCCAGGAAGCTGCTCCCCACAAAGGATCTGTATATAGATAGAATTCAGGGGGGTCCATGATCCTGGAACATGGAAGGGCATACAATTACTTCTTCATTTTCCCTAACTTCTAGCAGAAGTTTAACATCTCCTTCAATGATGAACGTAGGCGACAAACCGCAGTGGTAACATCACTACCTGTGACTTTGTCATCAGTACAAACCTGGTGCTTTCACATCACCTTAAAGTTGTTACAGCTATTTCTAAATATCGTTAACATTCATTAGAACTTCAAAACCACAGCAGTTATTAGACCCAACACTAGATCTTGTTATTTAATTAGATAATAAAGAAGCCCACTTATTATTATTACAACACGGATTTGTGTTTTAAATATTTTGACAGCTGTATCTCAACATAATTGATTTCCTTCGTAACCCTGTGTATTTCATTTTATGCATCTAAAATTATTATTCTGAGATGGAGTCCTTAGCCTTTACTAGATGACAGAGGGTCTGTGGTGCACAAAGTTTAAGAAGTTCTGTTCTGGGAACAAATTTGTCAGGGGCCCAGTTGCCTGGTTTCTCAAGCCCTGAGATCCTGGGTCCACCGTTTGGATGCATGGGACCTGCCTTGGGGTGGCCAGGGAGGGCAAAGCTGGACCAGGGGACCCAAGGAGCCTGACCCTCTTTGTCTCATCCCCACCCTCACCCCAAAGCAGACAACACCTGCCACTTTGAAGATGAGAAGATCTGTGGCTACACCCAGGACCTGACAGACAACTTTGACTGGACACGGCAGAACGCCCTCACCCAGAATCCCAAGCGCTCCCCCAACACCGGTCCCCCCACTGATATCAGCGGTACCCCTGAGGGTGAGGACATGGCCTGCTGCAAGGAATGAAGGACAGCTTCAGGGAGGGGTCTAGTGACAGGGAGGCCAGTCTGAGGGGGGGGAACACAGCCCTTCCCTCAGGGAGACCCAGTCTGAGGGGAGACAGCGCCCTGCCTCAAGGAACCCTAATTTGAGGGGGAGACACAACTCTGTCTTCACGGGGATTCGGAAGAAGAGAGAGTCCAGTAGAGCTCAGAACTGGCCCAGACTCCGGTGCTGTGCTGTGAGGCAGGGCGGACAAGGTGCCACGGGGGTCAGATGAAGTCGAGGCAGTGAAGGAATCAGAGGGGAAGAGGCCTGTGTGGGGTGAGGCGGAGGCTGCTGGTGCATCTGCCCCTTCCCAACAGGCTACTACATGTTCATTGAGACATCAAGGCCTCGGGAACTGGGGGACCGAGCCCGTCTGGTGAGTCCCTTGTACAATGCCAGCGCCAAGTTCTACTGCGTGTCCTTTTTCTACCACATGTACGGGAAGCACATTGGTGAGTCGCAGCTCCAGGTGGCCTGCCCAAGCGTTGCTGGGGCTGGAAGGAGAGAGGGAGTCCACAGGAGGCTGGGTATTGGCCCATGTGAGGCCTGGGCTTCCCAGCTTAGCTGAATCACATATCCTTGGAGGGGGCGTGGGCAGAATCTGGGCAAGGGAGGAAGGCAGAGCCAGCTTGTCTGAGGTTCTGAGATGATGAAGGCTTCCTGAGTCTGCAAAGAAAATGGCTCCAGCCGGACAACATGCAAGTCTTGGAGGAGACGGAGAAAACAGGTAAGAGGTTGCATGTATTGAGTGCCTGTCAGGCGCCGGGTGAGCTCTGGGAGCTCTGTCTCCGTGGTCTCATTATCTCTCACAACCAACAAACAGGTGAGGGCGGTGTTACCATATAAATCAGAGAGGTTAAGCATTTTCCCCGAGATCACACAGCAACCCGAGTTGTCTTCCTCCCCCAAGCCCTAAACACAGAATTGGGAGGGTGCTGTTTTGTGAGCAATGAGGGGAAGTCCTGCTTCTTAAGTGTGGGTGTACATTTGCCCTTGGAAAGAGATGGTAGGAGAGTCACATTAATCAACGAACTCATCATTCAGCCGTCGCTTCCAGAGCTCCTGCTCTGGGGCCAGGCATCAGGTGCTGCTACGAACAGGACCGACCAGTTCCCATCCTCGGGACACCCGAAGTCAAGTGGGAGAGACAGGCATTGAACAGCTAATTGCAGCAGATAAGATTGAGCAGCCACTGTGACACATGTCCGCAGCAAGACAGGGGCCAAGACAGCTGGTAACAGGGACTGACTGTGGGGGCTGAGTTATGGAAAACTCTGCTGAGGAAGTGACAGTCTTTAAAATTTTTATTATTTGTTTGTCCACTTATTTAGGGGACAGGCCATGTATTTTGCGTGGGTCAAAGGTACGAAAGGTACATAATGAGAGCCCCCTGCTCGTCTCAGTCCTCCTGCTGCCTAGAACCCTTCCCCACAGGCAACCACTGCACTTGGACTTGGGGGCAAGTTTCCAGAAACACTTTATGCCTACAGAAGCCAGTACATGTGTGTTTGATTTTGCCCCCTTTTATACACACTGTTCTGTGTCTTGCTTCTCCCTCTGAACTGTACATCTTGGGGATCATGCCTTATCGGACCACAGAAAGTTTCACAGTAGAGGAAGTGACTTTAAGCAAGAGTAGACCTAATGGCTCTTTATGGACAAGTCTCCCCAGCTAAGGTAGTGGGTCATGCTGAACTGATCAGCCAGGACGGGGTAGGAGGGAAGGTTCTGCGTCCACTGGGGCCTCCAGACCATCCACCCAGACCATTGCACTCGTGGCTGGGTCTGGAATTTGTGGGGAGATTCCTGCGGGGTAGGTGGGGTGGGCGACCAGCCCTGCGCTGCTCAGGCCTGTCGTTTCCACTTGGCCTTCCTGAGGAAGACTCTGTAAGCATCAGATCTGGACAGGAGGACTTTCCAGTAGGGATGCCATGGAGGGGCCCCCTGTCCCATGTCATGTTCCTGCCCTGCTCTGCCCTCTTCATCACCATATTTTCTAGGCCTCCAGTACCTGATCCGGTCCCTGCCTCCTTCTCTGACCTCATTTTCTGCCACTCTCCCCCTTGGCTCCTACTCAGCTTGAGCACACTGGGCTCCTTGCTTTCCTTTAAATACTCAGGGCAGGTTCTTGCCTTAGAGGACTTTGCTCATGATGTTCCCTGGACTGGAACATTCTTCTCCTCCCCTCATTCAAGGTCTCCTCCTCAGAGAGGTCCCTGAAAGCCCCAACTGAAATACCTCTTTATTCCTTTCCCTGCATTATTATCTTTATCGTGCCCATCACCAATAGAATGTAAGCTCCAGGAAGGCAGGGGTCTTTGTCTTATTCACTGATGTATCTCTAGTGTCTAGAACAGCCCTTGGCACATAGTGGTGCTTCATTAGTTGAATGAATGAATGAGAGGGAGGTCTGAGATTCATGAACCCAAAGTAACTTCTAACCATGAGGCTCTATGAAAGTCCTTTTTCAGTTGTGAGTATAGTCATGAAAGGTTCTTCAGTCAGCATTTAATTATTGAGAACCAATACCAGTTTGATGCAGACTTTCCCTCAAAGAGTCAAATGAGGAGGAGATGTTAATCCCAATAACTATCACACCACAGAGCAGAGAGTGGTCTGGGCCTGGAGGGCTGCAGTTGAAGGACCCAGGGTTCACAGGACGCATAGAGGGCTCCCAACTCAAGCCTAGGAAGACTTCTTGGAAGAGAGGACATTGCAAGAAGGATTTGGCCAGGGGAATGTGGTAGGGGAGGGAGTCTCAGGCAGCTGGAAAAGCCTGAGCAAAAGCCCAGAGGCTGGAAAGCTGGGGTATGTCTAGGCTCCAGCATGTAGTCCGCTTTGGCTTTGCAGGAGGCAAGGAAGATAGGAAAGAATGAAGTGAGCAGGCCCACCATTAAGGGAGGCTGAAGGTCTTGGGCCCTGGCTGATCCCTGTGAAAGGCGGTCCGGAAGCCCCCCGAGCAGGGGAGATGCTGGAGATGATGGGGTGCTCGGGGGAGAGGACAGAAACCCAATTTTTGTTTAAGTAGTAAAAAGGAGGGGTTCCCCCATTAGTGTCCTGGGGGCAGGGTGGTGGAGGAAGAAGAAAAGGTGGAGACTGAGGGGGATAGGAACAGGGGGAAGAGCTCCAGGACAGGGAAGAGAGAAAGGCCCCTTTGGAGCTGGTGAGGAGCCTGAAAAGTATTGGGGCTTGCCTCCTGGCCCCCTGGAAGCTTGCTGCAGCCCTGTCGTGGCCCCATCTGCCGGTGAGGGTCCCCACCCAGGCCTAGCTCTGCTGCTTGGGAGGGGGTGTTTCTTGCTGTCCAGTTCCCTCCTCTCCCTTCCTCTGCTACCCCACCTGGCAGCTCTGGGCACCAGCTGTCCCCAGACCTTGTGTCTCGCTGGCTCTCCTCAGTCTAAGCCAACTCCTTTCATCTCAGGCAGGTAACATTTGGTGGCTCTCTCCCACCGGGGGTCTGTCTATCTGGTGTCACAGATGGTGTGCCTTTGTCTGTGGGCAGCGCCATGGAAATGCCAGCCACCGGGCACTGTCTAAGATTGATTCCCCTTCCCTCTGAGCCAGGTCTTTCACATCACTGGGGGCTTGAGGTGGGCCGGAAGAGCCAGGAAGGGGCATGACATCGCCTGGGTGCTCTTAGCCAAGCCATGATTCCCTCCTTCTTTTCCGGGGCCCCCAGCACCTCCAGAATTCCAGGCCTCTGTGGCTGTGGGCAATGGGCCTCAGCACCCTCCGTCTAATGCCCTCAAAATTTTACTTTCACTGTGCTTACCATGGCTGTGTAGCACAAATACTAACATCTCTCTTTAAAGCAACTCACTCCTCTTGTCTTAGCTTTGTCCTAAGCATCAGTATTAGAGAAACTGTGAGTTGGAAGGACTGGCTTTATTCATTTCTTGAAAACTTAAAAATTTTAAAGTCCATCCCCATGCCTCCAGAAATCATCCCATGTATCATGCCCTGCCAGGGGTATGCACTGTGTGCTTTGGGAATCCTGCTTTGTGCTCAGTCATAGGCCCTGCCGCCCTGGGATAACTCCACTGTTGAGAGGAGGAAGGTG